GTGGTGGCCTTGGGAACGGTTGGACTCAGGGGTCTGAGAGGGATCTTCCAACCTAAATGACTCTACAACTCTCTCAGCTGGTCCCCACAGCACATCTCTGCCCTTCTCACCAGGTCTAAACTCTGCAGCTTGAAGCCATACACAGCTCCTCGCTTACTGCTGTTCATGTAGTTGCCAAGAGCCAAGATGATCTGTCAGGATGGAAGAGAGCAGAGTGTGAATGTTCAGGACAAGTGCATGGAGCTTTAGAACCTTCTGGAAGGAGAGGTAGTGTCACACCTACCTCCAGTATCTTCTTAAGTTTCTGGGATGACTTTATGGAGACAGAGGCAGCGATTATGGCGTGAAGTTGCTGCAGGGAAGCACAGGAAGAGCTTCAGTTAATGCACATCCAACCAGGAGTAAAGTTTACACCTAAACACTCACATTCTCATCCACACCATGGGGCTGGGCATGGAGGTCCCTCTGCCCTGGAGCCAGGCTGGGAGAGCTTCAGCCTGGAGAGGAGAAGCTCCAGGGAGACCTCAGAGCCCCTTCCAGTGCCTCAAGGGGCTCCAGGAGAGCTGAGAGGGACTTGGGACAAGGGATGGAGGGACAGGACACAGGGAATGGTTCCCACTGCCAGAGGGCAGGGACAGATGGGAGATTGGGAAGGAATTCCTGGCTGAGGCACTAGCACACGAGTTGTGTGTTTCTCAGTGTTTCTTCAAGGGTGTTTGTGCACTGAACAGGGTCAGGTTGGATATCAGGACAAGGTTCTTCCCCCAGAGGTGTTTGGGCACTGAACAGTTCCCAGGGCAGTGTCACAGCCCCAAGGCTGACAGAGCTCAGGGAGTGTTTGGCCAATGCTCTCAGGCTCAGGGTGCAGTGTTGGGGTGTCCTGGGTGGGAGTTGGACTAGATATCCTTGTGGGATCCTTTCCAACTCAGGGCACTCCACAGCTCTCACTCACAGGGGTCAGCATCTGGATGCTCTCAGCAAAGTTGCCAATGAAGGCCATGATGGTCATCTTCTGCATGAGCCTCTCGATCTTGCTGAACTGCATCATGAAGCGATCCTCGTCCGACAGGTTCTCGATGGGTTTCCTCTCCCGCTCGTACAGCCGCAGCACCTTCACCTCGTTCTCCGTGGGCAGGAACCTCATCAGGCACTCCACAAAGTCCACTGGCAACGTCTTCAGGTCAAACCTAAGGGGATAACACACAGCAGTTATGGAGCAAACCAAACCAGTTGCCTCCTCCAGATTCTCTGGCTTTTGGGTGCTCATGGAGCAGAAAATGGTGTGGAAACAAGAGCTCCAACCTGCCAAACTAGGTGGACAAATTAGCTGCATTCACACAAGAAATTAGCACATTCACACAAGAAGTGTGAATATGCTAAGCCTCAGCAATGGCTCAGCAACACAAACCTTCTAGAGATTTCTTTCAGTTCAAGCCAATCTGATTTCTAGGAATCCACAACAAGTCCAGGTGCAAAAGCAAGTTTGCTTTTGCCAATTCCAACTCCACTTGGAAGAACTCCCAGCAAACCCCAGACAGGGTTTCCTTGCTGGCCGGTGGTGACTTACACATGGATGGCTTTGCAGATCTCATCTGCTGTCTTCCCAGCCTTCCTCAGGGTGATGGCCAGGTTCTTGGCCCTGTTGGCATCCAGCAAGGTGACCTTGTTGGAGCCTTTCTGAGGGATCTTCTGCTTGCTTGAGGTCAGATCAATGGCTGGGCCTTGGGCTTTTGTTTTGAAGATTTCCTCAAATTCGTCCACATTTAGGTCCTGAAAAGGAAAGAAAGTGATTTCTGCCTCAGCGAACACTGAACCCTCTGCCTAGACCTGTGGCACAACTGCTGGAACAGCCTTGTGCAGGCTGAGACTGCAGCAGAGTATCATGGAGTCATGGAATGGTTTGGGATGGAAGACCTTAAAGGTCATCTCATCCCACCTCCTGCCATGGGCAGGGACAACTTCCACCAGCCCAGGTGGATTCAACATGGTTCTGGACACTTCCAGGGATGGGGAAGTCACAGCTACTCTGGGAAATCCATTCCAGTGCCTCAGCACCTCACAGCCAGGAATTCCTTCCCAGTCTCCCATCTGTCCCTGCCCTCTGGCAGTGGGAACCATTCCCTGTGTCCTGTCCCTCCATCCCTTGTCCCAAGTCCCTCTCAGCTCTCCTGGAGCCCCTTGAGGCACTGGAAGGGGCTCTGAGGTCTCCCTGGAGCTTCTCCTCTCCAGGCTGAACACCCCCAGGGCTCCATTCCTCCAGGGACACCTTCCACTAGCCCAGGTTGCTCCAAGACCCATCCAACTGATACCTCCAGGATCCTCTCGTCATCGATCTCATTGAAGACTGTGCCGTTGATCTGGTTGGGTTTGAGGGCGACCCAGTTGAACACAGGCATCCTGAACTTGGTCTTGATTGGCTTCTTGATCTTCACAGCTAAAGACACAGGAGAGGCAATGACAAATCCCCAACTGCTGCAGAATCATAGAATGTTATGGGATTGGGATGGAGCTTAGAGCTCACCCAGCCCCAACCCCTGCCCTGGGCAGGGACACCTCCCAGCAGAGCAGGTTGCTCAAGGCTCATCCAACCTGGCTGTGAACACTGCCAGGGTTGGGGCAGCCACAGCCTCCCTGGGCACCCTGGGCCAGGGTCTCACCACCAGAACAGGGAAAACGTCTGCCTAAGATCTAACCTAAATATCTCCTTTCAATTTCCCCCACTGCTCCTTGCTGTCCCTGCAGCTCCTCACAGAGTCCCTCTCCTGGTGCAGGGAAACCAAAGCCTCCTATTCCTGTGCCTATTCCTGTTCCTGTTCCATTCCTGTTCATAGCACCATAGAACCATCAAGGTTGGAAGAGACCTTTAAGATCACCAAGTGCAACTGTTATTCCTATTCCATTCCTGTCTCTATCCCTGTTCCTATTCCTGTTCCTAAAGTCTCATAAGTACATGAATAGTTTCTATAATTCAGTTCTCATTCCTTTGTCCCTTGAAGTTGTTCCTTGCTCCAAGATCAGCATGTTCACCAAAGGGATCAATTAACCTTCTGCTTCTGAATTCCTTAGGATACAAAGTGCCTTGGAAGCTGCAAACATGGCCCAACAACCCTGATCCTTCCTCTCCAGTGCTGGAAGCAAAGAGCCATCAGTGCCTACCAGGGAACATCAGACACAACATTCCACTGTGTGTCTGGAGAACCAAACTGCTCCAAGTGCAAGGCAGGAACACGTGACCAACTTGTGCTGATCTACGCTGAGCAGTTTTCCTCTCTGCTTAATTAATGTGGTTGCTTAAAATAAACCCGAAAATAAAAAGGAAACAGCTTTGAAGAGCCATGGAAAAAGAGCATTTTCCGCTCGTGCATACATTAGAATACATTAGCAACTGCTCCTGGGTTATTCCAGGCCAGGGAAGGAAGCTAATTCCTCCACTTGCTCATGGAGCTAATCAAACTGTCCTCATCTTTCCCTTCCTCCTTCATCCCAGAGCCCTGAGTGCCCAACCCCGGGGGCTGAGCACCCCCAGAGCTGCTGGCTCTGCCCAGCTCTGCCCCGAGTCCCAACACACACACAGGGGCACAGCACAGAGGGAAAGGCAAGGAGAGGAAATACTTAGCAGGAAGCAACCTACAGAAGAGCTTGATGGGCCCATCTGAGCAGGAGGCAGAAAGAACAGAGAAAAACATGTTAGTAATGGTCAGAAAAGCAATAGTTGTTATTTCCACGATTCCCCTCAGCTCCAGAGGGTTCCTGCACTAGGAATGTTCATTCCTGTGCAGCTGTTGCAGCCACAAAAGGCAATTCCACTCCTTTTCCCTCTCCTAACCCAGTGAGGAACAGGATCTCAGCCCACCTGGTTCCTGGGACAGGAGCTGGGTTTGGTCCCTCACTGCTCCCATCCCACATCAGCCCCCAGGGATGTCAGGATAAGGTACCTGGTGGCACTTCCAGTGTCCCCAGCAGCCTCCCAAGCACCCCCATGGCCACATCCAGCCCCCCCTGCCCTCAGCTCTGCCTCTTGTGCTTTACTGTCCTACAATATGCCCTGGGACCTTCTAGTTCCAGCATGGGGTTTTGCCCTCAGAGAGAAATCTGAAGGCTGCAATACTTAATCAGCCACTTTTTAAGTAACAAAGCTCTAATTAGAGCTGCTCGGTCTCTGGTTTGGGACTCTAAGAGCTCCCGAGATTTCTGGGGAGGAAAGTGACAGCAGTCAATGTTCACTCACTGCCTGAGACACTTAGCACGTGCCACAAATTGCCTAAAAACATGATTAAAGGTCTATAAATTGTGCTTCCTTCCCCAAAATTCCCAAAGTTTCCCATTCTTTTTGCACAGATATTTCTCCTTACAAGTAATCAAACTCCTGGAGCTTTGTGTTTCTTTCAAGCCCAAACTTTGCTTGCTGAAAGCCAAAAATCACCACGTTTAAAAGCTACTTTTGGCATGAGTTTTGCTTCACTGGAGGATCCAACTCTGCCAGACCAAACCAAATCCATCAGGATGATAAATCATGGAACCCCAGACTGGTTTGGGTTGGAAGGACCTTAAAGCTCATCCCGTTCCATGGGCAGGGACACCTCCCACCAGCCCAGGCTGCTCCAACCCCATCCAACCTGGCCTGGGACACTCCCAGGGATGGAGCAGCCACAGCTGCTCTGGGCAACCTGTGCCAGAGCCTCAGCACCTCACAGCCAGGAATTCCTTCCCAATCTCCCACCTGTCCCTGCCCTCTGGCAGTGGGAATGTCCCTCCATCCCTTGTCCCAAGTCCCTCTGCAGCTCTCCTGGAGCTCCTTTAGGCACTGGAAGGGGCTCTAAGGTCTCCCTGGAGCTTCTCTTCTTCAACCTGGCCTTGAATACCTCCAGGGATGGAGCAGCCACAGGTTCTTTGGGCAACCTCAGGTGCTCTTTTCTTCTGTAAACTCCTCGGTCTAACACCAGACAGGGATAATGGGATTTCTCTGACTAAGCACTGATGTGTCCCCTCCTTGCTCTGCCCTCACCTCTGTCCCCAGCACACCTGGCAGACATGTAGGAGCTTTACCTGCAAGCCCTGAGTTGAAGACCACGGTGGGAGAGGCTGTCCCAGGCAGAGGAGGTGCTGAGGGTGGGGGTGGTGGAGGCAGTGGAGCTGCAGGAGTTGTCTCCAGAGCTGGACCTGGCAGAGGAGGAGGTGGAGGTGGTGGAGGAGGTGGTGGAGGAGGTGGTGGTGGTGGAGGCATCGGCATCGACACAGGGCCGTTCTGCACTGTGGGACCCAAGGATAACAAGGCATTCCCATCAGCATGGACTGAAACATCACAAGGAGGTGCAGAAGAAGTCACAACATCACTTTATCCCCTCCTCAACATCTCCTCTCCACCCTACTCAAGCACTGGTCGGACCCTTCAGCAGTCCTTCAGTGGGTTAAGGAGGAGATGGAAGGAGGTGCCTAATGGAAGGAGGTACCAACTTTTCCATCAGCTGAAGGGCCCAGCAATGGATCACACAACCATAGGAGCCACCCAGAGAGTGCACACACAGCTCCTTACCTGCCTCAGGTGTGGCTGCCAAGGCAGGTAACGGTGGTGGAGGTGGTGGCAATGGCACTGAGGATGCAGCTCCAGCAACTGATGTGACACATGTCCCAAGCTCTGCCCCTGCTGGCACCATCCCTGAGGTCAGAGCCACAGGCAGGATGGAGATGTCCCCATCCCCTTTCTTCTGGATCTTAATGGTTCCCTGCTTCTCCAGCTCATGGATCTTCTTCTCCAGTGTGGACTGGCGCTGAATGGCTTCTTCCTTCTCCTTCACCATCTTCCTCAAGGTGTTAACTTGGCTGTTTGCATCTTTGTAGATTTCCTGCAGTGACACAGAAACAGGGAATTCGCACTTAGGATTCCAACTCCAAGATCAGGACAGGCTGACCCTGGGTGGCCACTGACACTGAGCTCTGATCAAACCATGCTGTCTGCACTGTGTGTTCTCCCAGGGTCCCAGCAAAGCTGTGAGCAGAGTCCTGGGAGAACCTCACCCATGGGCAACCAACACCTGGGGGTTCATCAGCATCTTCTCCTCATCACTCCTCTGTGATGTCTCTCATTTCTTAGGCTACATTTTGGCCCCTTGTGACATGAAGGATGCTGAGGGCCACTGTCTAGGGAAGAGAATAGAGCTGGGAAGGGGCTGGAGCACCAGGAGAGGCTGATGGGGCTCAGCCTGGAGAAAAGGAGGCTCAGGGGAACCTTCTGCTCTCTGCAGCTCCTGGAGAAATGGCTGGACTCAATGGTCTTGGAGTGCTTTTCCAATCTAAACCATTCCATGATTCCCGTGTTTCTGACTTCAGCAAACTGCCTGACACCTTGTGGGTTGCTCTGCCTATGAGCAGCCATTGGCTCATAAAGGGGAGGAGGAACAGAGCTCCTGACCTAGAGAGGAGACTGTGCCTGTATGTCCCCAGGGCAGCCCCTCCCAAGGAAACCCAGGACCCTCCACCCTTTGGGACCTCCACATGTGCAGAACCCCAAACGGAAGTGCTACAGCCCTGGGGGACAGGATGTCCCTGTCTCCCTCACTGATTTAAGGCACAGTCGAGGAGTTTCATGTCCATCTCGAGTGCACACACAAGTAATTCTCTTTGAGATGTGTCCCAGGTTCAAACTTGGAAGTGAACAGAAGTCACCTGCCTCAGATCCATTGCCCAGCCCATCCCCATCCCACTCACCCTGATCACATCCAGTTCTTTGTTCCTTTGCATGAGCTGCTTTTCCAGTTCTACAATCTTGGCCATGGCTTCGTTCTCTGTATCTTGGAGCTTTTCAGATAACTAGCCAAGAGAAACAGATTAAAAAAGTGGAAAATAGAAGTTTTATCAACCCAAACATCAGGGGAACTGTGGGAGCAGTGGGACATGGTCAGTTAGAGATATCCAACAACCCTGAGGTCTGTTTTTGGAAAGGGAACAGGTTCCTGCAGGAGATGGAGGCACTGAAGGTTCCTCTGATGAAGTTCACTCTTCAGCCATGACCAGGACATACCTGGCTGAACCAGAGCTATGACCTGTGCAGGTAAGAAACCCAACTCCTCAAAAAAGCACTTAAAAGCCAATGATTTTCATACACAGCAAGTCTGATGTGACCTCCAAACCCCACGACCACCACAGCAGCACTGGGGCAGAACCAAGACAGCTCAAGTGGTGGAAGCCACAAATATCCCTCTCTAATGAGGCTAAGTTGATCAGGAATGAATCAGTTTATTGTCTTTTTGCTTCCTTTGTCTTTTGATGTATTTTCATTTTAATGTCATTTTATTGTGTTTTTTAGATAAAACCTTTGTGATTTTATTGTGTTTTTTAGATAAAACCTCTGTGATTCCTCCCTGTGAGGTGCTGAGGCTCTGGCACAGGGTGCCCAGAGCAGCTGTGGCTGCTCCATCCCTGGGAGTGTTCCAGGTCAGGTTGGATGGGGTTGGCGCACCCTGGGCTGGGGGGAGGCGCCCCTGCTCATGGAATGAGATGAGCTTTAAGGTCCTTCCAACACAAAGTATCCCACAATTCTATGATTCCATGACACCTCAGAGGGGCAAACACTGCTCAGCCAGGAACTGCCACCAAGGTTTGGGGCAGCAAAGTGTGAGCAGACATTGAACTGAGCAAACTCTGAGTATCTTCAGTGCTGTTCTTCCCTCCTGAGCCCTGCAATGTGTTGGAGAGCACAGCCAGGATGGTTCTCTGCTCTCTTTAGCTCCTGAGGAATTGTCAGTCTCTTATCTAAACCAGCTTTCCCAGCTCCTAAGTTAACTCCACGTGCCAAGTGACTCCACTTGAAGCCACAACCACCACCTGATTATCCCCCAAGCCAGAGCCACAGCAATCCCAGGGCTGTTTCCAAGTGAACATCACCCCAAAGGCTGTGGCTGTGCTGTGCTCCCACCTCCCCACATGGGCTCAGACCAAGGTGACAATGTGAGCTACTAACATGGGAAATGTTTTCTTCCAGTTCTTCAACTCTTTCCAGCGCTGCATTCTTGGTCTCAGCATCCTCCAGCAAAGCTCCCACGTCAAACACGTTGTCCAGGTAGGCCTGAATCTGCACCTGCAGCTTGTCACTCTCTGTGTGCTTCAGCTTCTGCAAGGACAAGGACACAAAGGTGGCACAGGGTGGGGAGAGCAGGGAGGGCTCAGGACACCTCCAACACCTGGAGAACTCTTTGCTTTCAGTGTTAGTTGGGGTCACGTGAGTCACTTTTCAAGACCAAACATCCAGAGCTTTCTAATCTAAGCCAAGTGGTGTCTTCTCTTCTGTCACCAGCTTTCCTGCCCACGGCAGGGGGTCGATGGAGATAATCTTTAAGGTCTCTTTCAACCCAAGCCAGTCTAGGGTGCCATGATTTCCTCCACACTTCTCATGGACCAGCTCTGCCTGGTCCCCATGGACTGCAGAGCCTGTGCTACCCCCACACCCCAAACACACCTGTGCCCAGTGCTGCTGTGGGCAAATACACCTGGCAGACCCCAAACCTCCTCTCTCCTGGTGACAGCTGAGCAGAAATCAGCAGGGACAAGTCCCTCCCTTGCCAACATGAGCTCTGTTTCCCTGGGTTTGCTCCCAAGGGCAGGGACAGGGAGGAAAATACTTCCCAGAGCAGCTGTGGCTGCTCCAACCCTGGGAGTGTTCCAGGCCAGGTTGGATGGGGTTGGAGCAGCCTGGGCTGGTGGGAGGTGTCCCTGCCCATGGGATAGGGACAAGAGGAGCTTTAAGGTCCCTCCCAATCCAAACCAGTCTGGGATTCTATGAATCATAGCTAAGGGCAAACAAAAGCTGCTTCCTTCTGAAGGGCAGCGTTCCCCAAGGGACACCAGAGAACATCTGCCTGGCAGAGAACATCCAAGGGAGGGTTTTTCCACCCCTGGAGCCCTAGAAGCTCCTGAACTGGGGCCAACATGAGGCCTGCAGTCCATAGCTGCACTCAGGGACGTGGCAGGGCAAGGATAACTGTGGTTCATCCTCCCTTTGTCATCAGACAAAGCTACAAATTTAGGTGCCAGGCTGTAATTGTGGAAAGCTGCAGCTCATTTCTCTTCTGCAGAAGTGGCTCCTGGCCACATCACCCTCCAGCAGCCAGGGCATGGTGGTTCAAGCCCAGACCATGGGACTACCCTTCTCTGTTGCTCCAAAAGCTCTCGATGAGGAGGTCTGAGGAGGTTTAAGGGTTGTTTGGGCAGTGGTGCAGCTGAGGGATGAGGTGTGGACCTGCTGAGGGTGTGGGTGGGAGCAGACCCTCAGTGCCTGGAGATGATGACCCAAGTCAAACTCACATCCAAGTACTCATCCAGGCCCAGCTTTGTAAATTCATACTGCAGGTGGACCCTGAAGTTCATGTCCTCCACAGAGTGCACCACAATGTTGATGAACTGCATGCAGGCCACCTGCAAGGAGAACACACAGGTCAGCAGGGGAGAGCACAGGGTGGGACATGGCCACGGTCACATTCCCTTGTGGGTGCTAGGAGAGGAAACCATGAGCTGATGTTCTGGAGTGGTTTCTGTTCAAGCCAGTGCTGGATTTGGGCTCGCAGAGGGTCTGTCTGCTGTGATGGAGACGTGCATTCCAGGATTAAGTCATGTCTGCAGGGTCCACCTTCCTGGAAGGTGAGCAGAACACTCCCCGTGCCAGCTCAGAGCAGACATCACCCAAGCTCTAGAGAAAACAATGCTGTTTCTGAAACAAGTGAGATCAATTTTGGGACTGGAACCCTCAGCCAAGGCAACAAGACTTGCACAAAAGGAGCTTTGTTGCTTGCCCAAGCTGTGGTTTGCTTTGAACAAGGACCAGATCATAGGAGTTGGCATCTACACACATCCCAGCACAGCCAAGGGAAGACAAAGGCTCTCCAGTGCTATGAGACGTGAGGAAACCTCCCGTGGAGTGGTAGGAATTGGGATGCAAACCCCAAAAAGGCTTGTCCTTCACTTGAATTTAGGCACAGCCACAGCCTGCTCTGCTCAGGGACCCCCAGAGCTCTTCCAAGGTACCCCAGAACTCTTTCAGCTCACAGTTGATCCTCTGTCACCCTCTGAGCTGCTCCAAGAGAGTTTGCCTCCTCCTTGCTGGGATTCTCAAGGATATAACCCCATCCTGCAACAGGGATAATATCAGCTTCCCAACACCCAGTGAGATACTTCCTGGCACCTACTGAGATGTCTAGAAGGAACCTGAGAAGGTAAATATAGAAACAACTGATTTTACCCCCAGGAAAAGCCTCCAGGAGACACCACAGCTCTGGGAATGAAGAGAGGAAGGCACTTTCTGGATCACCAGTCACCACTGGAACTTGGCCAGTTGCCTGTGACCTGCTCCAGGCCCAGAGGATGACTCCCAGGCAGGACTTGCTGTGTTGTGGCCTGTGACTCCAGGTCTGGTTGGGGTGCCCCAAGCTGCTCCTTCTAGCTGGAGCTCCCATAAGCTGCTGAGATGCCATCAAAGCCTTCCCAGCCAAAGTGCCCCAGCTGTAGAGGAACTGGGACCACAGGGACACTTCCAAGGCCAGTCCAAACCTCTCACCTACATCTTCCCTGGTAGACCCTGACCAGCTCTAACCACTCTGGTTCCAACATGACTGCAATGATGCAAAGGTGTGGGACTGGTAAAAGGGATAAGCCCAAGGAGAAGAGGATGGAAGATGGTCTAACGACTCATCCAGGAGCATCTGGGATGTATACTGTATGGAATGGAAGATGGTCTAACGACTCATCCAGGAGCTCCTGGGATGTATCATGCCCACCTCTTGGTGTGCACTCATCTCCTACATGAACAACCCAATCCATGCACCTGGAAACCTAAATTCAGGTTCTGATCTGTTCAGCTAGAAACCTAACTTGAGGTTCCAAGTCTTCCCAGGACCCTTTCCAGCTCCTGTGGTGAACTCTGGTTCCAGATGGTCTAACGACTCATCCAGGAGCTCCTGGGATGTATCATGCCCACCTCTTGGTGTGCACTCATCTCCTACATGAACAACCCAATCCATGCACCTGGAAACCTAAATTCAGGTTCTGATCTGTTCAGCTAGAAACCTAACTTGAGGTTCCAAGTCTTCCCAGGACCCTTTCCAGCTCCTGTGGTGAACTCTGGTTCCTCCCAGTCCTGCTCCCAGCCTCCTCCAGCTGATCTCTGCTGTCCTGTGCATTCCCCACAGAGCCAAACTCCCCCATTCCAAAAGCATTTCTGTGACACTGGCTTTGACTTTTGCAATGTTGGGGCCAAATTCTCATTTCCTTTCCCAGATCCTTTACATACACAGCTAAGAAATCTCTTTTCCAGCTTCAGGATTGTCCTACAGTCAAGTCCATGACTGGTAGAAGCATCCCAAAGATGCAGATTCCATTAGTATTTGGGCAAGTCCTGAAAAAAACCTCTTATTAATCCTTTTTTCAAGCATATTTCAATAGTATCTTCAACCTGAGGCCTGAGAAGAGCAGGGAATTTTCTTCCAGGCTGCCCACATGGATGCTGAATATTCCCAGCTCACCAGGATTCTATGGACACACACTCACATGCAGATTTAGACCCCTATAATACATCGGTTACTATCTAAAATAGAGAGGATGGGATGAGAGGAAATGGCCTCAAGTCACTCCAGGGGAGGATTAGGTTGGATATTAGGGACAATTTCTTCATGGAAAGGATGGCCAAGCACTGGAATGGGTTGGCCAGGGCAGTGGTGAAGTCACCAGCCCTGGAGGGATTTAACAGCCACGGGGATGTGGCACTTGGGACAAGGTTAGTGGTGGCCTTGGGAATGGTTGGACTCGATGGTCTGAGAGGACTTTTCCAACCTAAATGGTCCTAGGATTCTATAATGGCAGCGTATAAATCCCCAGGTGGCTGCAGGCTCCTCCCAGGCCACACTCTGCTCCTCTCCCACCCCCCAAATATCATTCCTCTCCTTCTGAACACAGGGAAAAAAACACTGTGAGCTGGTTTTGAGGACTGGGAAATCTTCCCGTTCAATCCCAGCCCAATCTGGGTGCACAGCTGAGAACACTCAGCGTATCCTGAGGCCTTCCAGGGACAGCACTGCAGGAACAAGGAACAAACCCAACTACAACATGTCAGAGCTGCTGAGAGCAGCTGCTAACATGAGTGTGACTGCAGAGATCACTGCAGGTTTGCCTTTGCCTTTCTAAATCCAAGGAATCTGCCATCCTGTTGCCTCACACCACCTTCTTTTTCACCTGCTGTTCCCCCCCAAGGCTGAAGCCACTGCCACGAAGCCTTCCAAGCTTGTAGGCAACACCTAACACCTCATTCTTGGCAGAAAAAGGTCTTTAACACAAAGCTCAGTGCTGGAAGAGGATGAAGTGTCCCAGATGCTACACAGAGGCCTCAGAAAAGCAGCCAGAGAAACCCTCACGCGCTGCTCTCCCCTCAGAGCGGGTCCCACATCACACCCAAGGCAGGAGCAGAAGGGCAAGGGGAGTTTTACCCTAATTAAACACAACACTTCAATTCCTGACACTTGTGGCCCAAGCAGCCACCGTACAGGCTTTAAAACAAGCAGATGTAGTGGTATTTTTGCCCTCAGACACAGAAACAGCTAATCCTCAGTGCCACAACCTCGTGATGCCAACGTGCTGCTGCCCACGTGTGCCAGCCAGAGCTTCCTCCTCTCCCTGCTCCCTCCTGTGCTCCGAGGGGAAGTGGTTTGGTGAATAATCATGCAGATGCACACTGAGGAACCAAAAGTGGTGCAAGCTGCTGCTATATTTACCAGCAGATAAGGGCAGAGCAGCCGGAGAGAGTCTCTCCCACACGTCTCTGTCTGGGGCTCCGAGGGTGCTGGCACAGGGACAAGAGGAGGAGGTTGATGCTGCAGAAGCTGCTGTGAAGTAGCACCAGTGGCTAAAAGGGCATTTCCCTCTTACCTTCACCCTGGCACAAGGCATTTCTTGAGGAAAACTGAATTGGAAGCTACAAACGAAATGCACATTATGAAGTGGAGTAGAAAAATCCTGGTGTGGTGTTTGGGCTGAGGCTCAGAGGGAAACCCTGAGCCAGCAGGAGCAGGCACAGGAGGCTCCAGAAACAAAGGGGATGCTGATAACTGAGACTCACCATGAAGTCTATGTTGTTGTCTTCATTTCTGAAGTGCTCCATCAGCTTCTCAAAGCGCTGCTTCTCCCCACACACCTACAAAACAACCACAGCTGGCGCCAGGGGGGACGAGAAACACCCCAAAACAGCTCGTGCAAAGCCTCCCCAAGCAGGATTCCTCGTGCTAAGCATCTCCTTTGTGGTGACAAATGCAGCTGAGCAATGCTGTATGAATACCTGCACTGCAAGCCCAGAGTCAGGTCCAGTTACTACACACAGATAGACAAGGATGATACAACTCTTTGTAGCTCTTTCTCCCCTTAAAAATGCAATCATATACTCCCCACTGGCACAAGTGGCAGAGTCGTACCAGGCTCAGCCTCTCACAGCTCACAACTGACTGTTCACTGTCACATCATGTAATTAGGCAGAAAAGCAAATTCCAGGGAGGAGAAAGGGACAATGATCAGTGGCTAAAGCAGGAGTGAAGCACTTCAGTGCAAGCACCCGAACTGCAGAGCCCTAGCACAGGGGGTTGGCAGGAAACAACAGCAACTTGAGGGAGGAATAAGATCTAAGGTAAACCAAGTCTCAGGATATTGTTTGGATCATTTCACTTCCCAGTGGCTCCTCCGGCTCAGGTCTGTGCTCCTCAGCACAGAAACCACCTGCAGCAATCCACAGCAAACTCACAAGGTAGAAAGTAAGTTGGAAAGGACAATTCCCATCCCTGGGAGTGTTCCAGGCCAGATTGGATGGGGCCTGGAGCAGCCTGGGCTGGTGGGAGGTGTCCCTGCCCATGAGATGAGATAAGCTTTAAGGTCCTTCCAACCCAAACCATTCTGGGCTCTCTCTTGCACCCACCTCAGAAAAACCAGAGCTGATGTAAACAAACCCCTGGACTGTGGAAGCAAACACAGCAATGGAGGGTAAGACCCCTCTGGGATCAAGCCAGAGGGAATGATCTCTGGGAAATCTTTTTTCCCTCACTCACAGCCTCCTTAGGTGCAGGACATTATATCCCACACCAGTTTTATCCTGTTGCAGGAAACTGGAGCAACCTGGGCTGGTGGGAGGTGTCCCTGCCCATGGGAATGGGATGAGCTTTAAGGCCCTTCCAAACCATTCTGGGCCCTCTCTTGCACCCATATCAGAAAAAAAATAGCTGATTTCAACAAACTCTAGGACTGTGGAAGCAAACACAGCAATGGAGTGTGAGATCCCTCAGCAACCAAGCCAGAGGAAGAGACTTCTGGGAAATCGAATGTAAGCCATTCCAGAGGGATGAGAAGAGCTGACACAAACAACTACAACCCACTTAGGGCTGACTAATGAAATCAGGAGTAAGCCTAAGTGCTACAGCCCTGGCAGAACAGTGCTGAGCCCTGGATAGGAGCAGCCCTGGGACACAGAGGAAAACAACAACCTGTGGCTTCTGGTGGCTGCTCACAGATATTTCCCACTACCACTGGATGAGTCAGGGCTGGCCCATGTGTGTGTGAAGAGGCAGCAAAGTGACTTGCATGGGATGATATCATTTCTCCTGGAAGATTAAAGAGAGTGAAACTGGAGCTGGAGCCTCTAGCCTGAAGATTGGCCAAACTCCAAGGGGAATGCTGAAATCCAATCCCACCACACAGAGCCATATGTTGCCATTTAGGTTTGGATCCATCTCCCAGGGCTGTGATCTGACAGCATGGCTGGGCCCAGGAGAGCCTGAGCTCTCCTCGAGTAGCATTAGTGTGTGGAAGGAGCAAGATGAAATGGGTTAGCACACCCATAAAACCTCTCTGGCTCTGCTCAGGCTGTGAGAAAACCTATCTGAGGCTGCACTAAGCCCACGTCATTCTAGAAGAACAATGTGGCTTTATGGAGAACCACCCATGGAGGGTCCTTGTTCTGGGGGCTAAATCCACCATGGATCTGTTACAGAGCTGCAGCACAATCCTATAAGGAAGCAAAAGGAGCTGCTATGAGTGGTGAATATAGACATGTCCACCTGGCAATGGTCACACAGTTCATATCTACACCACCCCAGAGCAAAGATCTACTAGGACAACTCTCACAAGGTTCAGGCTCTCATGGCTGGATCACTGCAAGATGCTCCAGAATCCCATGCTGGTTTGGGCTGGAAGGACCTTAAATCCCATCACATCCCACCCATGCCATGGGCAGGGACACCTCCCACCGGCCCAGGCTGCCCCAAGCCCCATCCAGCCTGGCCTGGAACAATTCAGGGATGAGGAGTCCATAACCTGTCTGGGCACCTAGAAACACAACCACAAGGGGATTTGGAAAGACTGAATATGTTTCCATGTGCACTGCACTGTCAGGCAGAAGGTGAAATTCCAGGCTGATGGAAGCACAGCCACCCTCTTCCCACCTCAGACAGTTACCCAGACACCACTTCATTTTGCTGGAGAATGGAGCTCATAACTAACCCTCACCACGAGCAGATCTATCTCCTCCACATCTGGAGGACTGTCCTAGTGGTAGGACAAGGGGAATGGCCTTAAGCTGAAGGAGGACAGGGTTAGATGGGATATTGGGGAGGAATTCCTCCCTGTGAGGTGCTGAGGCACTGGCCCAGGTTGTCCAGAGCAGCTGTGGCTGCTCCATCCCTGGGAGTGTTCCAGGCCAGGTTGGATGGGGTTGGAGCAGCCTGGGCTGGTGGGAGGTGTCCCTGCCCAGGGCAGGGGTGGGATGAGATAAGCTCCAAGTTCCCTTCCAACCCAACCCATTCTACGGTACTCTGACTCCATGAAGTCAACAAAAGTGATGCTAAAGCAAGTCAGACCTGGCTCCTCTCCCATCCCTGTTCTCCACCACCTTAGCCCAGCTCTCCTCTCCACACCATGTAGACAAATTCAGCTGCTGCAAGAGCCACCAGGCAATGAACTTCCCCAAACTCGTCTGGATTATCTGAACTCCAACTCATTTCTTTGGCATTTCTTCCTGTCTTGGAGCAAAACACAAAAGGTTTCTCCAAAGTTCTGGTTCATCTTCAGAAAAACACCTCAATTCTGGGTTTGTTTTCGAACACTAACTCATTTCCCACCCAGAGAAGACACAAACACTCACTCACCTTAAAAATCCAATTACTCAGGGGTATATTGGACTACTAAGCAACACAACTGCTCTGCTGGCTGAGAGCCAAGGCTGGGAAGTGTTCCCTGCAGAGAGCCAGGATTAATTCTGGCTGCTTTTCTGTCTCACTGCACATCCCAGGTTGGATCTGCTTTAAAACTACTATTGTGCTTACGGAATAAAGAGAGTGGTAGAGTCTTTTCCCAGCAATATCTAGCTGTTATTAAAGAAAATTCTCCTTAGTTTAAGTGGAGATTAAAGAAAAGCTCCCCAAGGATCTAGGATTGTGCTCCTTAAAATTTAACTTCAGAGTGCTGTGAAGTGGAGTCAAAATTGGCCTTCTCAGAGCCACCCTAAAGCTGAGGAAATTAATATCTGAAGGGAAAAAAAGCCACATGAAATGGCTTTGTAACTGCTTTCTTGATGCGATACTGAAGCAAGGCCATAAGAGAGGTGGAAAACAGCTTTGTGCACTCAGAGCTTTAACTCTGTTCAACTAAATCTCTGTGCTGTTTAGAACCATGGAATAGTTTGGCTTAGAACAACCTTAAAGCTCATCCCATCCCACCCCTGCCCTGGGCAGGGACACCTCCCACCAGCCCAGGCTGCTCCAAGCCCATCCAACCTGACCTTGGACACCTCCAGGGATGAGGAGTCCACAAGTTCTCTGCTCCCTGAAATTTCCCTCTTCAATATTTTGCTGCATTTAAAGTTTCATTTCCAATTCAGAATTCAAGGGGAGGTTCAGGTCAGATATAAGGAATAATTTCGTCCCAGAAAGAGTAGTTAAGCATTGCAATTGGATGCCCAGGGCAGTGGTGGAGTCACCAGCCCTGGAAGGACTCAGAAACCAAGTAGATGTGGAGCATGGGGACATGGTTTAGTGTCCTGGGTATTGGTTGAGATAGGTATCAAGAGAGAGAGAGAGAGAGAGATAAATACATATATAGAGAGATTATATAGATACAGATATCAACTGGGTATTGGGTGAAGGTTGGACTTGATGATCTTGGACGTCTTTTCCAGCCTTAATGATTCCATGATTCTACAGCCACAGTAAAATTGAGCTCTGCTGTTGGCACTAGGAAATGGCAAGAGAATTCTGTGTGCATTAGGGACAGAAGTGATTTTCCAGCAGTGCCCTGAGGATATTGGGATTCGCTGGAGCTCTCTGTCTGGGCTGTGACCCTCACAGCTCCTCAGGGCTCTCCTGCTGCTCACTCTGCTCCCCTTCCCTCCCCTGGCATCATCCTGCTCCTCCTGCAGCTCAGAGCTCAGGCACCAGGGCTAAAACCAGGGAGCCATGGAAACAGGGACAAAGGGCTGGGAATGCTGCTCAGGGAGCCGCTGGCAAGGGGGAAAGGGGCAGGGAGCTCACCAGTCAAGGCTGGGATAGCCCAGGCAGGATGTGTTTGTCCTCAGTGGGATGTACTGGGAATACGGTGCTGGGAATAAGAGTTGCTGGGAATAACAGGTGATGGGAGAAAGAGGTGCTGGGAACAAGGGCTGCTGGGAACAAGAGGTGCTCAGAGTAAGAGGTCAACAACTGGCCAGGAAGTATTCCAAAGAGAAGGAACAACAGAACACCCCAGGAAAAGGAAGCCCCATCCAACCTGGCCTGGAACACTTCCAGGGATGGAGCAGCCACAGCCTCCCTGCACAACCTGTGCCAACACCCTCCCAGGTAACAATTCCTTCCCCATATCTAACCTAGATTTCCCCTCCATCAGTCTGAGCTCATTCCCCCTTGTCCTGTCACTGCAATTCCAGATGCAGAGTCCCTCTCCAGCTTCCCTGGAGCTCCTGCAGACACTGGAAAGTTGCTGTGAGGTCTCCACACAAAGTTCATTTCTAAATTCCAAGTCTCTCTTGACTTGATTCAGTTCAACTACAACTTCCCGGCGCAGTCAGCCCCTGAGAACCCAACACTGTTCTCCTTCATCTCAGAGCAAAGCTCAGAGCCTGAAAAACATCTGATGTTCACCCTGATGGAAAGAAGAGCAGAATTTGGTCCTAAACACCCTGTTTTCCCTGATTTTATTACAGAGTGAGGAGTTCAGCTTTCTTTTTGAAGCTGTTTTATGGCAAGGAGACAGTGGCAGAGATGTGGTTCAACGAGTTGATCTGTCCTACATATGCACCCAATGTGTGATGAGAGGAGCATGGAGAAGCTGTGGCAGCTCTGCCACAGAAGCCACACAAACATTACTGAGATTAGAGCAACTTAAATTGCATGTGCAGAGCTGGAAATCCAACCCTGAGTACCTGACATGTCACAGCTCAAAGGAGTTTTAATACACCACAAACATGAAGACTTGAAACCATCACAGCAAACCTGCCCAGGAGGAAGATGGAAAGCAGCAGCACAGAGCAAGAAATAAGCAGCGTAAGTGGATAAAAAGAGCAGCTAAATGCAGAATTGAGGAGGAAAATAGAAGCTAAATGCAGAATTGAGCCAGAGAGGAGCAGCTTAATGCAGAACTAAGACAGAGAAGAGCAGAATTGAGGAAGGGAATGGAAGCTAAATGCAGAATTGAGCCAGAAAAGAGCAGCAAAATGCAGAGCTGAGAGAGGCAAATCCCTTCCTTGCACACTCACTTCACCTGCAGCACCCAACACTTCCAGCAGCACCTGAGCAAACCCAAGAGGAATGGAATAAATCAGTGACCACAGGCAAAGGGAATGGATTCCACAGGAATTGTGGCATGGCAGCAGGAGGAAAGAGATGATGAAAGAAGCAATACCTCAAGTGAAGATGTTAGGGAGGTAAAAAAAATCACCTGGGGCTTTCCACATCCTTCCTGGGATGTGTCCAATGAGCCTCACCGAGCATCTCATCCCACAGGACTTGGCTGCAGCCATTACCTGCCAGAAATCCCTCACTGCCCTCCCTGATCACTCCTAATTCTTCTCCAGTGGAGTAAGAACAACCTAGAAGGATCTGATCCTGGAATCAAAACCTTGTGCTCTGCATATTTACAATGCTTTGCCTATTCAAAGCCCTTCCCTCATGATCCTCACAGCCATCCCATCTGCATTGGCTTCCATGGTCCCTTCAGGCCACAAAGGAGCAAAGACAGCCCCAGTGGCTCACCCAAGGCTCCAAGGTAACCCACGAGACAACCAAACTACAGCTCCCACTTCTGTGCCTGCACTGAAGGACTGCAAAGGATGAGCTGTAAGGTCCATTCCAACACCTAAAATCCTATGATTCTATGAATCCTTTCCCAGCTGGAAGCAGAATGTCTCATTCCGTGTCCTGACCATCCCTCGCACAAGCAAAGCTCATGGTCACACATGCTCAGCTCCCACTCCCAGCCAGGCCATTCCCACCACCTCTGGCCTCAGGCGTCTCTGCACACACCCAGGACAGGTCTGGATTTGGCCTGAGGTTTCTACAGCAGATCCACACTGGAGGTCACTCCAATCTTTAGCGCTGGATCATGCTCAGTACCTCCAACATCCACTTTTCTGTCCACCCCATGCAAAACCCTTGCAGTGGATGTAAATCAATGTCTCCTCACCAGAAAGAATTCCCCAAACACCAAACATGAAAAGAATTAACAACTTGAAGATGTTGATCATCTGCATTAACCCACTTAGAGCAGCAGCAGCGAGGAAACACACTCAGAGTGTTTACACATCCCCTTGGGACTCATCAAGGCTCACAGTTCTGGAGCTGCAAAGTCTAAATTCATTTTTAATTTGATAAGGTCTCTCCAATATCGAACAGAAAGTAGAGCAGCAGCTTTCCAGGACTTGGTTCCTCTGTTCCAGTGCTGAACCTTCACAACATGTGCTCCAACCCCTTTAAGCTCTGCATGCAAAGCTGTACTACACCTCAGCACTCACCTAGGAGTGTCACTGGTTTGCCCCAACTGGGACACCTCTACGGGTTCCAGCAGCCAGTGCTCCATCCCAGATTTGATACTGTCATTCCTTCCCAGCTAAAATCCCTACTGATGTTAAACTGAGGAGTTCTGTGTCTCAAGGATGTGTGGAAACAGCTCTGGAAATGGGAGGTCTCACACACCATTCCTGGTTGGGCCAGAGAGAGAAGAACTGGAGTTAAGCTCTTAAGATCTCCATGACTTTATCACTCCAGGGACACAGCTTGACTGAGTAAAGGGAGTAATTCCCAGTCTGGATTAATCCCGTTGGAATTACAGCTCTGTCACAACATGAAACCAATGGAAACATCATTGGGAGCTCTTTGCTGCTGGAGCTCCAAGGAAAACCTGCAGTTCATGGAAAATCCTTTCTCCAGGGAATTCAGCTGAATGCCAAAGCTTTGAACAATAGTAAGGGAACCATGGGCCCCCAAATTCCAAGCAAGCAGAATAAAGTACCTCCTTGAAGTTATCGAATGCAGAGAGAATGATCTCATGTCCTCCTCGCACGAGGCAAACAGCTGCCAGGAGCTCCAAGACAAGAGCCTTTGTCCTGTGGAGAGGAGGAGAGGTGACAGTCAGCACCACCTGCTGATCCACCTGCTGGATGTGGCACCCATAGTCTCATCTCAGGTATTTTAACTCTTGAAGCTAATAGACCTGCAGGACACACAACACTGAGCACCACCTGACCCTGAGGTGCCTCTCCCAGGATCATGCAGTTTCCTCCCCCACCATTTCAATGCTTCTCAAAACATGCAAAGATTTAGAATCACAACTTCTCCTGGTGGCAATTCAGACCAAAAGAGCCTTGGAGAGCTCTGACAAGGGCAGATCACAGCAGCTCCACCTGCAGAGTCACTGCACACAGCTGGAGGAGGCAGATTTACACCCCAACCACCTCTCAGCTCTTCCCTCCAAGCCCAGTTTGTAATGGAAGTGTTTCTGATTCAAATCCATATTTTCCAGACACAAATCTGAATGATTCTCCATGACAATCTGTATTATCCACACACACACAGACATGGTTCACTGCAGTAACACAATGTCCCCCTCAGAAATCAGAGGTTTGGGCAGCTGATGTGGTTGAAAACAACAGGTTACTGAGAGAAGAACATGCAGCAAACTCAGTGGAAGCCTAAGAATCCCCAGGGTTCCCTCCCAGGGCTCATGGAAAGCAGAAGACTTCATGGCCAACAGCTCTGAGCAGAGAGCAAAACCATGCAGGACACATTTGACATTAGTCTCATGCTAAAGCAGCAACTCAAACCAGATCAATACCAGAAATACCTTTTGGCTCTCAAAGTGTCAAAGTTACCTTTGGAAACCAGATCAAATGTTCACTTTCCTAGGAAATTTTAGGTGGGTCATGTTCAATTCTTACTCATCAAGGTTGGTTTTCCTGCCACAAGAACATCCAAGGTGTTTCAGACAGGATCAAAGAGCTCTTTGGCTATGGATGTGCACCCAAGGGTGGGCTGGGAGGGGTGGGAGAGGGGAGGGAGAGTCCAGGAGGAGAAATCCCAGGTCTCCAGCTCTGCCCACACACCCGGGATGGGCATGGAGCAAGGACACTTCTGGCTGTGCCTGTGGCATCTCTTTGGGAATAAGCAGAGGAGACAGAGTCCCTACAGTCATCCTCCACCTTCCTGCCCACTCAGCCCCACAGTGGGAATGGGATCAGCTCTCCAGTCCCTGGGGATGGGATGAGCTCTCCCAGAGCTGTCCCTCCCCTCGGGCACAGCTCAGCCAACCCTCAGCACTCAAACCTTTGCTTCCTTCAGCACTGTCATGGGGCTAAAGCAAAAAGAAAGGAGGTTTAGAACAGCACTAACAGCAAGTTTTGGCCTCAGATTATTTTAGCCACAATTTATTTGAAATAATTCATTCCTTTCCAAACCGAAAACTTGGAGAAATCACTTTATTTCCAGGCACAGGACACCAAAAGGGATAAAAACAAACAATTTCCCCTATCTTTCCTGTTTCTCCTACGCTTGCTGACTTAGGGATGAATAAAGGCAAGGAAGGAAGTGCCTCTTGCCACCAGGACATGATTTCTGCCCAGCCTCAGCCAAGGCCATGTGTGCACACCCCCAGTGCTCTTCAGTCCTCTCATCCCCCAGTTCTCCCTTTCCTTGGCAACCTGTGTGTCAGCCTTGGGGCTGCTGAGACATGCAGAGGTTCCCAGCTGTGCTGCAGGTGGCTCTGAGGGCCACGGGGAGAGGAGAGGACATGGATTGACAGCAGTGACACCATTAGAGCTGACACAGAGCAAGAAATCAAAGCCTCTCCCCAAGAAACTAAAAGCTAAGGACCCTTAGGTAACAGTTTGGAAAGAAGATTTTTCCCTCTCTTCAGGAAAATCCCATGTTAAGCTACTCGTTAGGAGCTGATTTCTCTGCACTGCAACATGGCTGGAAAAGCCTCAGCAGCCAAATTTCAGCTGAACCACAGCATCACACACTGCCTTGGCTTGGAGGACACAAAGAAAACCTTAAAGACCATCGAGTCCACCCCCTACCATGGGCAGGGACAGCTCCCACCAGCCCAGGATGCTCCAAGCCCATCCAGCCTGGCCTGGAACACTCCCAGGGATGGAGCAGCCACAGCTGCTCTGGGCACCCTGTGCCAGAGCCTCATAGGTTAGAATTTCCCCCTAATGTCTAACCCAAACCTCCTCTCTGCCCTTATTCAAGCTGAAGACTCGGTAGCTCCTAATCCACCGGAACTAGGTGGCAATTGCTCATCTCCCTCCACCACTACACAGACTTAATCTGGTTCAGGACTAAACCTGATTTTTGCTGCATATTTGTGCACAAACAGCCCCTGAAAACCCTTTCCCCAAGTCCTTTTTTACTTACCTTCTCCTTAAACCCTCTGAAAGCCATTGCAGCCTACCTGGGGTTCTTGTTGTTCAGGCTTAGTGCAATTTCATTAACAGCATGGGGATGGGACATGACCATGTTGAATCCATACTGGAAAGAGAAGGGAAAATCCTCATTCAGCTTGGACACCTCAGTGATTATTTATCAGTCCAACAAATCCCATATCTCTGAGCAGATCTGAGAGCAGATCTTTGCTGCAAGCCAAAAACCTGGTTGAGTTTATTCCACCACAATATTTCATCCCCCCATTGTACCTGACAACTTCCAGCTCAGGACATTCCATGATTCTACAATTCTCTGCCACTGACAGTGTTGAAAGAACTTGTTTTGGCCATGCCAGCCAAGAAAACGAGGTCCAAGAGCTGCTCCTACACCCTCCTCTCATCCTTTCCTCCCTCCAAACCCCTTTTGATGCCCAGTCAGGTGCATCATTTACTCTCTGAAGAAGAATTTGCAGCTCAGCTGCCAAAACCAAATGCCTCATACAGTTATTGTCCTCCCAAAATGACACCAGAACTGCCTTGGGCCATGCTGGGTTGGGTTTCAGGACAGGAGTGCAGTTTGCATCCTTCCCAGGGAGGAGGTAACCCCAGGGGCAGAGCTCAGGCACTGGGGTGACAAACACCTCCTGCTAAAGGTGTTCCCCACACAATTCCTTTGTTTCAGCAAAAAATCCCAAGTCCCTGCAGCTCCTTGGGGAAGCTGAAGGGAAAAGAAACTCAGGGTAACAAGATTAGCTTTGGTCTAGTTGATTGACTTCCAGTTATCCCAATTGCTTTGCCACAAACATGTGCAAGGCAGAGCTTGGATTTTCCACCTCCTGAAACAAATCTCATGGTTTCCAGTGCCAGCACTAAATTCTGAGGCTAATTCTGAGCTGATTAGCTGTCTGTCAGTGCACATCCCTGCAGGCAGGAGCTCAACATGCACAGGTTCTTATCTACCTGCATGGACACACAGGACTATGTCCAATTCCTTCCCCAGTGAGCAAGAATTGACAACTTTTGGCCTTCAAAATTCACCACCAACCTTTCCTCCTCTTCCCAACACCCAGAGAGTTCAGTGATCCAACAAGGGAAATACCTGGTAGTTCATGATGGCTCTTAAACACATGATGCAGACGTGAACATCATCTTTTTTACTCACTAATCTGGAGTTTTTCAATGTTCTTCGGCTGGGCAAGGTGTTATACCTGCAAAGAGAAACAGCTCTCAGCAAGCACAAGGCTGTTTTGAGCAGGGGGAGAGGAAAGAAAGAGAAATATCCTTCCACTGAGTGAGAATGGAGATGGTTTTCAGGTGGGCATTGGGCAAGACTCATGAAGATGAAGCAGAAGGGCCTGGGTTGTTTCCAGTGTGTTGTGGTTTAACCCCAAGGCACAACGAAGCAAGTCAGCTCTACCCAGTCCACACCAGCACACAGTGGCACCACATGAAGCTCCAGATAAGTTTGAGTCCACACCTGCCTGTTGGTCACCCAGCACAGCCCATGAGATGCCACCTCAGCTCTTCCTCCCAGCACAGATGATGGGAAATACCAGTACTAAAGCCATAACAAGTCCCACCTGTTTGGTTTGATTGTATTTCACTGTCTCACACTCTGCCAAGAAGGAAATAGCTCCAAATTCCCTCACTTGAAGTGTAGAAGCCAAGAGGAATGAGAGGAGCTCATGTGAGGGCAAGGCTGGAGAGCTCCAAGCTCTCTGCCTTCAGCAATTCCTTGGCTTTCATTTTCCAGCAGTGCTGAGATGAAAGAAACCCCCAAATTCAAAGCAGAATTCAGTCAAATGCCTTTTTTTCCCCCTTCCTCTCCATAAATATGAATGAGCAAATCAGCTCAGGGCACTGCAGAAGGATTTGGGTCTGTGGCAAACATGACCTAGTTTTGGCTGAGAACAGTTAAAAGCTCTGGAGCTGAATTTTGGGGAGCAGATCCCAAGGAGGACACAAGACTGTGGGTGGAGGAGCTGAACCCTGGGGCCCAGACCCTGAGAGGACACAGGACTGTGGATGAAGAGCAGGGCAGGATGAGGCTGTTGGCCCCAAGCCACCAGGAGATCCTTGGATGGGAGCTCTGCACCTGCACACTTTGGCTGCTCCTGGTGGGAATGGGGATGCTAAGGAGCCCCAAGCAGGGCTGTCCCACCATCCTGCCTGGATCAGCTCCCTGCCCACACACAGGGAGACTCAGCCATTCCCCAGATGACACAAGAGAGGAGCAGAGCAGCCTCGAACTGGGAGGCTGAGCTGGGAAGGGTGGAAGCACTGGAGCACATGGAACCACACCACAGCAGCCACTTTGACACAGTCATTTCACCAGAGATGGAAAACAAGGCAATAAAAGGATCTGAAAGTCATTTCTAGTCATCCAGAGATTGTTCTACCATGGCTTAGCTCAGCTTTAAACCGATAAGGGCTGCAGACATTATTTGTCTTAGGATTTTAGATCAGCAGATTAATTAGGTCTTTATTATGACACCCTCAGTGCCTAGTGGATCAACCCCTTGAGTTTCTGAGTGCCTTTAACCATCTGACAGCTCTGTCAGCTCTAAGAATGGGATGAATTGCCCCTAAACCAGTAAAAGATGAGCATTAAGGCAGAATTTAGCATTTCCAGCTGCTTGGGGAGTGGAGAGAAAGAGAATCAGGGGGCAAAGACAGTGCAGTGTGCTCCAACGCTGGGTCAGATTCCCCTGGAAGCTCAGCTTGGGATCCAACCACCTGGGGGATTTTTCTCTCTACACCTCCCACTACTTGTGTGGCTTTCCAGGCACCTGATCAAGAGGAACATCTCTGCCCTGGAGCCAGGCTGGGAGAGTTGGGAATGTTTGGCCTGGAAAAGGCTCCAGGGAGAGCTCAGAGCCCCTTCCAGTGCCTCAAGGAGCTCCAGGAGAGCTGCAGAGGGACTTGGGACAAGGGACGGAGGGACAGGACACAGGGAATGGTTCCCCCCGCCAGAGGGCAGGGACAGGTGGGATATTGGGAAGGAATTCCTGGCTGTGAGGTGCTGAGGCTCTGGCACAGGTTGCCCAGAGCAGCTGTGGCTGCTCCATCCCTGGGAGTGTTCCAGGCCAGGCTGGATGGGCTTGGAGTAAAATTGAGAACAATCATGGCACAGAATTGCATCCTGATGGTTCTGGAATATCTCCAGTGAAGAGAATCCACAGTCTCTCCGGGCAATCTGTTCAGTGCTTGGTCACCACACAATAACGTTCTTCCTCATGTTCAGGTGGAACTTCAAGGGCACCAGTTTCTTCCTGTTTTCTCTCCTACTGCTTGTCACCACCAAGCAGAGCCTGATCCACCCTCCTGACACCTCCCTGGCTCACTGGGCTTCCACCCACGGCAGTGTATGGTCAGGGTGAGAACCAGGCACACAATATTCCCTGGACAGGGACAATCCCTCCAGCACAGAGAGGATCCTGCCCTAGACTTACACCTCTTCCCTCCAACAGATGCAAATTCCTTCCCATAGCCAACAGAGCCAAGAGTTAATGAGGATTTTAAGCACAGGAACCCTTGGACGACAACTCTGGAGCTAAGGCTGAAGATGCTTTCCCTGTCAGAGGTGATTCCAAGGATCCCTGGTGTTCCTCGCACCCTCCCCAGGGGCTGGTGGCAGCTCTGAGCCCTCCCTGCACACACCACGAGCCAAGGCAAGGGTGGATGATCTCCTCCTGCTTTCGTTTCTCATTGCTGAACACTTGGCTGAGCTGAGCATCTGGTGGAATCATCGAGGGTTGGATTTCCTGTCTGCTGCAGGTCAAAGATTATGTCACCACGAGTATATTTATCCTGCTAATTAAGTTCAGATGGTTCCTCTTTGATTTCCTCAGCTCCTCCTTTCAAGGGGAGCTAGAAAACCTTCCTCCTGACAGAAAAACACAGCCAAGCTGAGCAATGGGGAAGCTCCTGCAGTGGGGAATGGGTTTCTCCTGCCAGTCTGGTCACATGTTGGGAGGGAGATATTCCATAGATGCTTTTGCTGCTGGAGGATCGGAGGGAAGAATGTAAAATCCAAGATTTCCACAGCTGGAAAAGCAACAAGCATCAAAATCAAGGCTAATCCTGTGCTGAAATACATAGTTTAAGGTTCTTTTCGAGCCCAGAGCTAACAGAAGAAAGTTTGGGGTCAAGAATGACTCAGATAACAGTTCTAGGCATCATTTTTTAGGGCCACAAAGATGATTGGAGGAATTTTACACCTCTGCTACGAGGAAAGGCTGGGAGAACTGGGAATGTCCAGCCTGGAGAGGAAAACGCTCCTGGGAGAGCTCAGAGCCCCTTCCAGTGCCTCAAGGGGCTCCAGGAGAGCTGAGAGGGACTTGGGACAAGGGATGGAGGGACAGGACACAGGGAATGGTTCCCACTGCCAGAGGGCAGGGACAGATGGGAGATTGGGGAGGTATTCCTGGCTGTGAGGTGCTGAGGCTCTGGCACAGGGTGCCCAGAGCAGCTGTGGCTGCTCCATCCCTGGGAGTGTTCCAGGCCAGGTTGGATGGGGTTGGAGCAGCCTGGGCTGGTGGGAGGTGTCCCTGCCCGTGGGAACAAGATGATCTTTAATGTCCTTTCCAACCCAAACCATTCCATGACTCCATGCCACATGCCCAGCCCAGTGGTGCAGACTTCTAACACACCACATTAACACAAATTACAGCTGATTTCTCCTATCAAATTGACCTTATTATCTGCTAAAAAAAGATCATCTGTCTGCACTGGTTCTCTGGAGAACAAGAGCAGCCCAGGGTGGGTCTTACCACCCTTCTGGCAGCTGGGCCAGCTCTGCCTGGGCTGGGACTGCTGCTTTTCCTTGGGCTTGGGTGGTTTTGGCTACATCCCTGCAATTTTCTTGGTGGTGGTTTGGAATCTGTGGTGTTTGTATTACCAACATCCTTCTGACAGCAGAAAGTGTCTTCAGAAGAGGAAGGTTTTGGCACATCCTCCTAACTTTGGGTTTGTCTGATCTCTTGGAGCTGCTCACAAATCTGTTCTGTTAATTCAGCCAAAAATGATGACTTCCCCAGTCCTTGAGCAGGGAAAGTGTTAATGGCAAAGCCCAAATTAAATGATTAAGTGTCGAACTGAAGTCCTAATTATTGACTGCATTGATGGCTTGAGCTCCATCTGCCTGGATCTCTCTCTCCTGAAGGACCCCACAGACTGAACTGAAGTTCCTCAGTTCAACCCATGTGAAAACTCCAAGATTTGACTGGGGAAAAAAGGGAATTTCTAATGGGTTGAGACACTGCAGAGCCTGCATTAATATTGATCTGACAGCAGAGTCTGACTCTCATGTGAAACTAATGCTCTTTCCACCCCAAAAAAGCAGCAATAAAATCTCCCAAGCTTCATCCCCTTTTTCATCCTCCTGCCCTCATTTTGGTGTTGGTTTCCCAAATGCCTGTGCCTCCTCTTAAGGAGAAAAAACCTTCTCAGTTGCCAAGGAAACCCAGGGAGGAGGGAATTGGCAGAGTTTAGCTCCACTAAAAAGAGCTCTGGGAAGGCAGTTTGAGTTCTAATTAGGTGTCTCAGCCACCACAGGGACAGGCAGAGCTCTGTGCCCACCCCATGGCCCTGTCTGGCTGCAGGGAACTCCTCACTGTGCTGCTTCCAAGGGTACAACCCTGCCAGAACCTTCTAGAGTTGCTTTGTGCTTATTCAGTATTCCTTTTGCTAGAATCTCGTGTCTACAGCAACATCAGGTGGGACAACAGAGGGGTCTGCAGGCTCCAGAAGGTTTGCAGGGGAGCAGGGACCATGATGTGGCTAAAAAGGCCTCAAAAATGACTAAAAAGAGCATTAAAGCTGCCATGAAACTCTCTGAACCCAAATGTTCTTGTTGCTTTCACAGAAAGGAATCCAGGCCAAGGCTGCTCTCGTTTCCCACACTGCTGTGGCACCACAGGGATGAGTCCAGAGCCTCAGTTCTGAGGGACAGGGATGAGTCCAATGCCTGAATTCTGAATGATAGGGATGAGTCCTCAGCTCATAGAATCATAGAATTTTAGGGGTTGGAATGGAGCTCAGATATCATGCAGTGCCAACCCCTGCCCTGGGCAGGGACACCTCCCAGCAGAGCAGGTTGCTCAAGGCTCATCCAACCTGGCTGTGAACACTGCCAGGGTTGGGGCAGCCACAGCCTCCCTGGGCACCCTGGGACAGGGTCTCACCACACTCACAGAGACTACTTCTACCTAATATCTAATCTAAATTTTTCCTTTCAATTTCTCCCCATTGCCCCTTGTCCTGTCCCTGCAGCTCCTAACACAGATCCCTCTGCAGCTTCCCTGGAGCCCCTTCAGCTCCTGAAGGTGCTCTGAGCTCTCCACACAACCTTCTCTCCTCCAGCCTCAACAGCCCCAACTCCCTCAGCCTGTGCTCACAGGGGAGATGCAACTTTGTGGCCTCCTCTGGACTTGCTCCAACAGCTCCATGTCCTCCTGATGCTGAGAGCACCAGAGCTGTGTGCAGGATTCCAGGTGGGTCTCACAGAGCAGAGCAGAGGGGCAGAATCATCTCCCTTGACCTGCTGTCCCCACTCCTGTGGCTCAGCCCAGGACAAGGTTAGCTACAAAACTACCACCACCACTTGTCCCATGCCCAGCACAGCTCACACCTTGCTCCAAAGTCAAGCACACAGCACTTCCTTCCCCAAAATCCACAGAATCCAACTGCACTTGGACTATAATGTGCCAAGCACAGGGTTGGGAGCCTGAGCCCCTGCCCAGGTGGGGTGGCCCCTGTGGCTAGCACATTATATGGCATGGGGAGCAGTGGTGGCCCCATGGCTCCATGCCCAGGGGCATCTCCCACGTGGGACTTACGGGATCTTCCGGCTGGAAGCCTCCGTGGCACAGGGGTAAGAGAGGCTGCTCCAGAGGCAGTTGGCTGAGAAGCAGCTCTGGCAGCGTTTGAACTCAAGGTGCTCAGGCAGAGAAACCAATCTGATGGCATGGGAGAGGAGGACGAGGAGAGCAGGAGGGAAGGAGGAGAGGGAGAGAGCGGAGGAGAGTGGAAAGGGAGGGAATGAAGACATTGAGATGGGAAAGCAGAAGGTAAAGGATAAAGGGAATGAAGGAGATTGAGATGGGAAAGCAAAATGTAAGGGATAAAGGGAATGAAGGAGACATTGAAATGGGAAAGCAAAAGGTAAGGAATAAAGGAGGACGTGAGAAAAGAGAAAGGATGGAAGGAAATGAAGAGAAAAAATGTAAGAGCCATGTAATGTATTCCTGACCTAGGCATTCCTAATCCCAAAGCCACTTGGCATCACCCCCTCCTGCCAGCACAGGGCTCTGCTGTCTCTGTCAGAGCAATCTAAGTGCAAAGAAACCCCAAAACACCACAAAAATCCAATAAATCTACTGGCCAAGGGATTCTGCTGCACTCCACAGCCTGGATTTCCTCCTCTCTGTCTCCTCCTCTCCACTGCCTGAGCGCTGGGAACTGCCTCTTCCATCAGCTGCCACTCAGCATCCAAGGGCCAAGCTCCCCTGCCTGGCAAACCAAACCTGAACCTCTGCTGGAAGGGAAAAGCGGCAAGTGCTCCATAAAAGTCCCCCAAACCATCCTAAAGCACCCAGCACTCCAAGCTGGGCTTCCCTCAGGGAACACCACTGGAATCTGAGGGTGGTGGTTGGTGCGTCCTGTAACAGTGGAGCACCCAAGGAATGGAACAGAGTTGACTGTCAGCCAGTCCTGGGAAGTGATCCTGCCTTTTCCACCAACTAGCAGGATTGGGAGAGACTTTGTAGCAGAGCATGGGGTGGGGTGAGGGTGCCAGAAGGTCTGAGGGATGGAATTGGCCTTCCAAAGAATGTGCTGCTAGAAGAGCTGAGACACCAGATCAGAGCCCAACACTGGCTGAGCCCATGGCAACCTTGAGATCCATTCTGGAGGAGAGCAATGACTTCCTCTGTGCTCAGCCACGTTGTACCTGATGGAGATGCATCCTTAGATCATCCTCCTGCCCTTGGAAAGGGAGGCAGAGCTATTCCTGCCCCTTCCCCAACCACTGTGCCACCAGCTGAGCTCTGGTTTCCACCTCCAGCCAGCACAGTGACGTTTCCTACGTATCTCATGCCTATACTGGGAAGAGAGGGAAGATGAAGCACATTCCAAAGGCAAAGCACAGTGAGGGCTGTCCCTCAGCCCCCGGAGCCAGGGAATGCTGTACCTCAGCGTGGAGTGTCTGCCGGAGCGCGAGATGCTGTTCCCGACCGGCGAGGGCAAGTTACTGCCCCTGTGCAAGTCCTCGATGGATCTGCTCCAAGGTTTGGATTTGTCCATTGAGTTTTCCACACTGTTCTCCAAACTTTCAAAGTCAAACCTGAAAGGAAAGAGAAAAGCACAAAGAGTTTTCCTTCCACAGCTGCAGATCTGAGTGGAGTCACAAAACCATTTGGGTTGGAAAAGCTCTTGAAGACCATCAAGTCTCAGGAGGTTAATGGCTGGACTTGATGATCTTGGAGGTCTCCTCCAACCTTCATGATTCTATGAGTCCAACTCTTCCCCCAGCACAGCCAAGGCCACCACTAACCATGGCCTCAAGTGCCACATCCACATGGCTTTGAAATCCCTCCAGAGACAGATCCTACAGCATCAAGCAGCACCAAACAGCCACACATCTCCTACTTCAACATCAAACAAACCCAACACTGGCTGCTGTGCTGATGCCTTGAAGGAAAGAGAGGGAATGCTTGGATCTCTCTCCTTTTCACCTCCATAAATCAGTGCTGCAAGTACCACTTGTTTCCTCCATCACTAGGTGTCCAAGCACTTCTAGTGCCACGTTGGGCTCCCAAATCTCCCAACACGTGTGATATCTGACCAGATTCCCTTTGATTTCTCCCT